GGATTTTTTTCTTCCCAATCTTTTACTCACTCACTGCACCCCGGATGTAATGCCCGCTGACACACACCTACCTGTATGTATATTATCCCAAGTTGCTTCTTAAAGAAGCAAAAAGCCAAAGTGGATCTTCAGTACCCCTCAATTTGTGCAACAAGAAAAGTGAGGAGAAAAACGAGGAGTCAAAAACAGGATCAAGTCTGTTCCTTACAGGCAAAATGGAGTGGGTATGAAAACAAAGTAAAGCCCATACTCCCTCCAGCCCTGGGCATCTGGAATCTGACACATCAGCAATGGGTAAGTGGGATACCTTGCCAGAATGCACGGGCCTGAACACTCTTTGCATTTTTAAACCAACATCTTTGGATGGAGTCTGCTGAACTTTTCCAGAGCAAGTAAATGATCTTTTGTGGGACAAGCCCTCTTTATTAATTTTCCAAATAAAAATATCTTGCACGTTTTAAGAAGGAATCACAAGTAGAGTATTACAAAGTTTAACTACAAGATGTTCTTATACGGTGTCATTCTCTTAAAATAGAACTCTCCTAAAATCTCCTAAAAATAAGTCTGCATAGTTTCATTTCATTTTCTAAGAAGGAGACAAACATATCAAAACAAACTCTTAGCATCTTTATTAAACAAAGAGTCTCTCTGCTACATGGGGCTCAGAGATCAAAGTCTAAAGGCCAATTTCTTCACTTCATAGGTTGATGACACAGCTTTGAAAAGAGGAAAAGCAGTCCCCCTAGTGTACTGCTGCTGTAGGAAGAGGAAGTATGTTAGTTGAGAATCACTGACGATGACAGTACTGCAAAGGAAATTACAAAACAGCATTTTGGCAACATGGGCCAAGCAGAAGACAGATTCCTCACGCATAACCATAACTGGCCCTTTGGAGAGTTCCTCCAAAGGTGACTGAGGTCAAAATTATGAGCCAGTAGGGAATTACTATGACTTTATCATGTTGAAATTTTAAATGTGCATATTTTTTAAACATAAAAGTTGCAGTGAAAATATCATTTTCTTAATACATCATGTTGAAAAGGAAATGGATGCATTACTCTAAAAAAACTAGAACAGTGGGCACACAAACAAGCTTTAAGTGGCAGGTCAGCCCTCACCGCGGGGAGTCGCGCTACGAGTGCACGTTCTGAGTGCACGTTCTCATTCGGAGGCAGACTCCGTCCGTTGAAGAACTCCCCTCTGTAGGAGCAGCAGCAGAAGTTGTCACAAAGCATGCTACGTTTGTGAAATTGTGGGAACCTCCAAAGAAACTTGTGAGTGCCCAACGTCTCTGTGCCCTGATCTATAGGAAGTTCAGGTGTATGAGTGTGTGGAGTAAAGGGAGTGATCAACAGGCCTTACAAGATAAACTCTGGAGTCCTAGAGGTATGCCCAAGACAGGAGGAACTGAGAAAACTTGCCAGTTTAGTTAGGGGTGCAGTTGCAAGTAAGCTGAATGCGAATTGAAGGAAATGTAACCTTTTCCCCTCTTAACCACATCTGATTATTCATTTCTACTTTAATGCCTGAGGTGAGGGAACCTGTGAGATAGCCATCACCGGTCCCCCTGGTACAGTGTGCATCTGGCAAGCCTAAGTTAACCAGGAACTTCCTCTTTCTGTTAAAATGCTCTTTTTTCGGCCACGTCTATCACTCCATAGTTCCCAAACATGCGTCCTGTTGGCACCAGGCAGCGACACAAAAGTGACGCACACACTCGGACTCCACTGATACTCGTCTGTCTTTCTGATGCTGAAGTAATAGCCGAGACATTTTTAGACTGAGAGGCAAATATGTTTTTCAGGAAAGCAACTGCTACTTATGTTAAAGCTACTCATTACTTAGTAAATAACCTTTTAAAAAGATCAATTTAAAGAGGAAAACAGTGTGATTAAGACAAAGACCTCTACAACTGCGGCTACTAATTACCTCTGTATTAACTAGCTGTGTGATTTTGGAAAAGCCATCAACTCGAAGAAGCAGGTTCTTCACCGATATAAAATAAGGGGATGGAACTAGATCAGCAAATCTCATCCTGGCTGCACATTAGAAACACCTGAGAAACTACAAACCTCTCTCCCTCCCTACACTGCAAACACTAATCCACAGATCAACACAATTAAATCCGATTCTCTGGGTAGCAGTATTTTTTAAAGGTTCCCAGGTGGTGCTAACATGCAACCAGGGCTTCGGACCACTAGTCTCGATTCTGATTCTCCAAGGCCTCTTAGAGAATCATTCTACAGTCTTAGGGTGCTAATTTTGGTTATAGGCTCTCATAATGCAATGGTCCAAAAAACCACAAAAGAAGTAAGGCCTAGACCCTGCATACTATGCCTAAGTGCACACATGACCAGGAGACATTAACCTGAATCCTAGACAATTTTTAGAGGTTAAATACCCGAATGCATAACTCAGAATGAAAGTCGTGTGGTTTGAATGTGCATGTACGCTTCCAAAATGACTAATCATAATAAGAATCAACTCCTGAAACCTGGACACATGAACGTGGGTCACAATGAGCTCCTGACCTCTCTCCCTTTTCTCTTCTTCTGCCTCCACTAAACCACAAGCACAAAAAGGGTTGGCTGTTAGTCATAATCGGAATATGAAACCAGCCTCAGTTTCAAAGGGCCTTCTCCAACACCACAGGTTTGGAAGTTTTTGCATGGCTGCATCTTTTGAGAAAGGTCCTCTTACAAAAACTCTTTAACTAAATTATATCTCTATCGTCTTCAAGAATCAGTTGTCACATAATACTCAGAAATGGAATTTGTGTAAAAATTTACAGTAAACATCACTAAATGCGTGTCCTGTAAACATATTAAGGCTTGAGAGTTTCAATGTATGGTATTTCATAAAATTTTGGTTAAAGAGAAATAAGACAGCAGACAAGGAAAAAAGAAACTGAGACCAAAAAACGTTTAGGACATAAAACCACAAAGTTTATGACCAGGCCCAAAATCTCTATTGCAAATCCTGCAAGCTACATGAAAATAGAATTAGTCCAGTCTCAATTCATGGTTACTTTTGATAATATCACTTTCTTACACAAATCTCTTTTAAAAAATCAAATGCTATTAAACTGTTATTATTTTAACTACAGGCACAACAGCAAGAAATGCTATTTGTGAAATTAAATTTCTTTCATAATCTTAAAAATCATAGGGAAGGTGAGAGCCCTGCCTACGTTAACTTTTCCAAGTAAGTTAAAAGTTGCTAACTTGAACAGAGTCTGCACACCAAAGTCAGACCATGCAGGACTAAATTTCAGGTGTGAGGAATCTGAACAATATTCCAAGCGTCCACATCTGTCTCCTTAGAGCCTGTACACTCGCCCCTTCCTGACACTATCCACTTAGATTAACCCTTGCTACCCACTCGGAAACTCAGCTCTAAAAGCTATCACATTAGTACTGCTGTGAAACAGAACTCAGCCTTTCTGTCAAGATCTCTCATCTCACACAACTGTCATTCCTTTGCAAAGCAATAAAATTAAACCAAATGTAACATTCATAATGTCAGCATTTGTTAAAGGAAATGAAAGAGACTTGTGGGATAATATCAACGCAAACATTTTGCTTTAAAGTTTGTTTAATCTAAACAAGGCTGAAATCTAAATGAACCTTCTCCAATTCTGCCTATAATATTTTTTAAAGGCACTTATTTTTAAGCAAATTAAGCCAATATGCTAAATTCTTTAGCTTTTCATATACAGTCTCCTCCCTCATGCTTCACTTCTCCACTTAGGTCAAACTTTTCTTACTTTATTCACCTCTTGGAACCCAGAAAGATACAGGGCTCCACAAAAATGATAAAGGAAGAGACAGAAGGAGGAAGCAACTACCTCTTTAATTAAAAAAAAAAAAGCTAGTTGCAAATGGAAGCAAGTGATAAGCAATTTCTATCTCCAACTGCAGGACTCTCTTTTGCCTGGTACTGACACATTCGTATCTTAGGGGACGGGGCCAGGAGGAGCAAAGCAGCTGGGTATCAGCAGGGGCACAAGAGCTAATCTCTTTGGATGCCCAACTGCAGGAAGTCATTACATCATAGGCCTTTCCACACCTCTCTCGCTACCACGTGTCCAGTGCCCCCAAGAGGCTGAAAAGGAACAGTAGAGAGCCTCTCTTCAGGTTCACTTATTGATAGAAACCATTACAGCCCAGCCCTGCCCCCAAACCTCCCTCTCAAAGGTCTCAGTGAGGCACCAGGCCTCCAGGCCTCCACATCTGGACCCCACCTCACACAACGCCTGAGTCCAGGCCTCAGGCCAAGCAGCAGGTGCCGGCCGGGCCACGTAGAGGTGGCAGAGCTGGCCCGTTCCAGGCCCCAGAACATCTCAGAGGCCACTGAAGCAGATTTACTGAAGAGACATCTCCGAGAAATAAGGATGTCAACAGAGAGACAGCCAAGAAAAGGTTTGCAGCCACTGATTTTTCTAACGATATCTTTATGCCTGTGGGTGTTAACACCCACAAGCCCGAAAGTTGGACCCAAGGGTCTCTCATCCAGCTAGTGACAACACACCACACTCGTGGAAAACCCAAATCTGACTCCTCCTCCCCTCGCCAAGTCCCAAACAATCCCACGGCCCCTCACTCCTCCCGCAGCGCCCTCGACACACTGCCACTATGGTGACTTCTACTACAAAGTTGGCAGCGGACCTACCTGCTTCGCGATGTCCCTGAAATCCAGCAAATGCACTCCTGTCCGTCTGTCCTTCCCCTGCCGCAGTACCTAGTCCCCTCTGCGAACCTGCTCATGCCTGAAACTTCCCAAGGAGCCTCCTTCCCCCGTGCTGACCCTCCACAGCCGTCCCTAGGCACCAGGTACCCCTCCTCAGGGATCATACACAGCCCCCAAACCCTATCACCGGAGGCTCCATGCCAACCCCTCTCCTCTGCGCCGAGAGGCACGCTCCGACGAATCGAAGGCGCGTCTCGCACTGCGCAGAAGGCCCAGCGGGTCCCATCGCCCGCCCCGAGGTTGGTACGCACCTTCCAGCCCGCAGAGCTGTTGCTGTCGCCCTTATCCTTGAAGTAGGGCACGCAGCGCACCATCCACTCGTAGATCTGGGACAGAGTGAGCCGTTTGTCGGGGGAACTCTCGATGGCGCGAGTGATCAGGTCGGCGTAGGACAGGTTCCCCCAAGCGTTCCGCCGAGACGAGCATTTCCTCGGCTGCCCGGAGCCCCCAGCCGCCCCTGGCTGCGGCGGTGGCAGCGGCTGCTGAGGCTGCAGCGGCGTCTGCGTTCCCCCGCTCAGCGCACCCGCCGTGGCAGCTGGCCCTGACCCCGGGTCCTGCCCTCCGGGAGCCAGCAGCAGGGCCGAGTCTTCAAGGAGCATTCCAGCGCCGAGGGTGCTGCTCCCATCGCCGATCGCCATGGCCGAGCTGGCCCTACCGCTGCCGTCCTCGTCGTCTTCATCGTCCTCCTCCTCGGGGATCATGGAGTCAGCGGCCGCCTCCCCCGAGGGTTTAGCCGGGCTTCCCTGGAGCTCCGGCCTCTGCAGGGGCCACGTACAGGAGCGCGGCCGGCTCTGAGGCTCGAACTCCGGGTCCAGCTCCACTTCGAGCGGAGAGAGCGGGGCCGGGGAGGCCAGCGCCTCTGCCATCTTCGCCGCCCGCCCGCCCGAGGCTCGGGCTCTCGCGCTCCCTTCTCTGCCCGGGCGGGGTGCAGCGGGGGAGGGACAGGGACGCTGGGAAGGCTAGAGCTCCCGGGCTCCGCCGCTACTGCCGCCGCCGCCTAGGGAAGCACGAGAGGAGAGAGAAGGGGAGTTGGTTATCCCGGGCTGAAGCCCAGTCCTCCGCGAGTCCTCACCCGCCTCCGCCGCTTCTCCACCGCACAGCGCCCGCCTCCCAGAAACAGGCAGACCTGGAGACGTGCGTCCCGCGAACCTGGCGCAGCAGACACCGCCCCCTGGCCAGGCCACTGGAGAAACACCGGCGAATCCAAGGGCTCGCACGGGGCAGCCCCCTCCCCCAGCCGCCGCCAGATCCGCAGGTCTCTCCTGGGCTAGGTGGCTGGGCGGGGACGAAGGGGGAGGGGCGGGGCGGGGGAGGGGCGCGGCCCGCGCCTTTAAAGCGGGCAGAGGCCGGAGCTGGCGCACCCTAGCCGCGGTCGGAGCCCGAGCTCAGGCGGGCGTGCGTTTGTTTATGTTTCGCTCGGGCTGCTCAAGAGCTTCCCGCAGCGCCGCCGTCAAAGTATGTGGCGTCTTCGGCTGCTCTCCCCTTCCTTGTCCCTGCCGCCTCCGCAGCCCCCTGTCACCAACCCCCTCCTAGCGGAGGGACAGGAGCCCCGGCAAGGCACGGGCAGCTCCCGTCTCCCCTCCTGGCCCGCGGGCCGCCAGGGCGAACGTGAGTTGGAGCGCAGTCGGACCCTTGTCACTTCCAGAAAAAAAGAAAATACAAGAAGGGGGACAGGCAGCTCGGAGAGTGTTCGCAAACGGTTGCGCTGAGCAGAAACGGCTACTTTAGGGTTTTGTGTGGTTTATTTTCTCAGGGACGTTCTGCCCTCCGCCCCTTCCCCTGTAAAGGACGGGGGGGGGGCAAGTCGGAACAAAAATCTTCCAACAGGTCGGGAAGCTCTAACTCTCCCGGGCCGCCAGAAAACCCGGACCAGTGCGTTCATCACCTCCTTGCTCTGGCTGCTGCCATCTTGACAGTTTTCCCCCCTTCGCTCAAGTCCTTTAAAAACACTAGCGGGAAAGAAGAGGGGCGCGCACACGGAGTCACGGGGAGGGAAAAGGGAAGCGCCTGGCCCAGCTCGGAAGCAGATCCGGAGTCACCGGGAAGGTGGCCGCCCCGCTGCACAGCTCCGGCGCCTACCTCTGTTCTTTCCCTTCAGGGATGAGGGGGGAGGACGCACAATCCCGCGCGGGCCCGGGGCACGGCGAAGAAGAGGCGCTTCGGCCGCCGCCGCAGCCCGCCTGAGGAACCGCCTGTCAGCCTGCGCGCCGCCGCCTTCCACATTCCTCCTCCTCCCTTCCACGAGCAGGGCTGCCGCCGCAGCAGCACAAAGTTATAGACACACGCAGGGTGCCTCAACCTAAGATGACGGCGGGCGGGTCCCCGCCCAGGGGGAGGGCTGGGCGGCCGGCCCGGGTGTGCTGGTGTCCGTGCGTGTGTGAGTATGTGCGCTCGCGTGCGCGCCTGCGCGGCTCGGCTCCGCGGGGCTGTCGGCGTGGGTGTCAGCGCGCGCCGCAGGCAGGACAGGCGGGCTCCCGCAGCCGTCCCCGCCGGGCTCCTCCCCCCTCCCCGGAGCTTCAAAGACAACAAAGCGCGTTGCTGGCTCTGGAGAAGAGAGAGGTGGGCGCGCAGAGCTCCAAACGTTCCACGAGCGCTTTGGAGTGGCCTTCTTGACTGAGGTAGGGTCAACCACGCGGGGTCTCCGGCAAGTGCGTCTGTCCGCTAGGCTCTGAGCCTGCCCAGGTGTCTGGTTCCCATTTAGAACAGGATACCAGGTAGCACCAGAGATAAGATGCTGACCGCAGATGGCAAGGGTTACCAAGGCGTGGAAATACTGGCAAGCGAAGATGTTGGAGCCTTTAGGAGGAGGACCTCGATAAGGTGATGCCCTCAGATTTAATCCGGCACCTAGAGGTTTGCACTGAGTCTCACCCAGGACGCTCGACAGCAATCGTTTTTCACTTTTCATGATTTCATGGCAAACGACAGAAGTGTAACTAACTCAGAAAAAAGCAAATTATTCCCCCATTCCTAAACACAAGAGCAGATTTTCAACTGTGAATGGGAAATCATTTTAATTTGTAAATGACTGCAAACATCTAATTGGGCATTTTGACTTTTTTTTCTTAAAGAGCCTCCTTCGTAAGTCTTTATCCAATCATCAGTGCCCAAATCATTCATCTATGTACTAAGAATAGACTACATGCTTACATGCAAACCAAAACTCAGTATCCACTTTGGCTTATAAAAATCTTTTTTTCCCCCTTTAAACCCTTCCAGGTCACTGGAGATATCTCAGCGTTTACAGCGGGGCCCGCACCACCCTGATACACAAAAAAGTCCAACCAAGCGTACACAGAAGTCCGCCCACTCGGCTAACTCCAAGCTCCGGGCTTTGCGCGGGGCCTGTCACTCAAGTGACGTTTGGCCCCGCCCCTGCACCAAGCTAGTTCGACGCGTACAAACAGATGATGTCATTGTATCCGCACGCGCGTGACCCGGGAGCTCTACACCGCGAAGCCATTCGCTGCGCCGCTAACTCGTCAAGCTACGCCGCGCGCTGACTGGCCGCGGCCACAAGTCTCCAGGTTCCAGACGCCCCTCTCCGCCCCCCGCACCTCCCCAGAAATAATAAACAATCGAGTAAGATCCTAAGGAAGGGTGGGAGGGAGGAGGAGAAAAACCATAAGCCAATCCTTGGCGTGCCAATGGAGGGAAAGTTAATAGGAGGGGGATGTGAGAGGACTGGGGTGGTAACGGGTGGGAGAAAGCAGACCTGGGGCGATGGGTCCCGCCGCGATGAGGTGTCATTGGGGGAGGAAAGTTGGAGGGCACTCTGCGGGGCGCGCCTGGCAGTCGAGGGTGGAGCTAGGTCCCGGGAGCGGTGGTGTTTGGAGGACTCGGGGGCTGCGTGCAGCCCGCCGAGGGGGAGGAGCCTGAGCACCGCCGAAGCGGCGCAGGCGGAGCCGACTGACACGTGCCGGCGGAGGGCGGGCGCGCGCAGCACAGGCGCGCCCAGGGCGCGCGGAAGCGCGAGCCGCGCGAGCTTGTTTACCAGCGCACGTGGGTGTTATTTATAAAAGGAAGGTAGTGCTGGATGCGCAGCAAAGTGGCGGGAGCTTGGGACAGCGGGCTGTGGCTAGGGGACGCGGCCGGGCCTGCTCCACGGCTTCCCAGAGGGCTCCTCGCGAGCCAGGGAGGCCTTCCACACTGCGGGCTTCCAGCGCAGTCAGCAGCTCGGGTCGGAAGCCTGAGAGCGAGTTTCGCGCTCTGCCCGAGCCTCAGCTTAGATTACAGGTTCCCGCTGCGGAACACTGCCTTCTTTAAACCCGGTTTAGCTCCCTCAGTCCGATTCCAGGAACAAAGCCACCTGCTTCTCTTCGACCTGGAGGCTGTGCCAGACCAGACAGCCCGGCCACCGGTTCCAGAGCAGATTTCACAAACTCACATAGTCACTAGCACACAATACCATGGCCACGAGGTGGACTTTCATTACCCTGCGTGGTTTGTGCCCTCTTTCTCTTGCCCCAGTCCGTTTGTGCCTGTCCTTGGGTTTACAGTTCTGCCCGCATACAAAAGCCCTTCTGCTTCAAGTTGTCTTTAAAGGGGGGTTTATGGAGAACGAGCCTCTGACTGCTTCTTGGGATTGTGCTCTGCGTAAGGGTCTTCTGTTCTTATTGCGGGCCTGTCCCACTGAGAAGCCTTGAGTTTGCATTTGGTTTATTGAATGGTGGTGCGGACCATGATGTACCAAACGACTGTCTGCTTCAAGTGTCCATGCGGTGGACGTGGAGGGGGCGGGGGGCGGTGGTGGAAGCTACAGCACTTTGCCCTGAGCCTGGTGTTCAGCAGCATTGAAGGGAAGCCTGGGCTTTGCACCTTGATACTGCCTAAAATTCAAAGAACTTCAGTTGCTTCTTCTTAATATTTTAACTGTAATAGAAATCCACTCTTTTTCTTTTTGAAATCTAAACAATCTTTTGTCATTGAATTGAAGGTGTAGGGAGAATATGTTTGCACTGGCTGAGCTCTTGGTCATTGGATTTTCACGAAAAACATGTGTCTTTTCAGAATGCATATTCCAAGGGCATTCCAAAAAATGGAAGAGTTTAAAGATTCAGTCGATTAACTGAGTTCCTTATGACCTTCTTGGTAAGGAATGGGAGCAGGGGGCATGATACAGCCCTTTTCTTCGAAGACCTTACAGTCTTAGTTGGGGGGAATAAGTATTAAATTCAGTACTTCAAGAATTTAAAAACAGCACAAGACTAATACAAGAGATTTTATGTATAGTATTGGGTAAGCTTCAAGTGAATTGTGGTTCAAATGGCAATGGCTATGCACATTCAGCTTGGTAAATGTGCATCTTGCCCAAACGATTTACCCGTGCAATTTATCCCTATGGCAAACCTTTGAAAACTCAGAGGTTGAATGTCAGTGATTGTTCTCTTTTATCCTAAAATTGTTTGATCTTAAAGGCCTCCCAGGTCCTTTTCCATTTCTTTCCCCCACTTTCCCCCCTCACCTTTTTAGTATAGGAAGGCTGAATAAGTTAAGGTTATCAAGAAGTAATACCATCATGACCTTTGAGGTAGAATTTTTGGTAAAAACTTTCCTCACTTCTTTTTACCTTATTTATTCCTACAATTTAAGGTTGTAATTAACCACTCCATTTTGTAAATTCAGTCACAGGAGGAAAACAAATTTTTAAAATGTTCCATCTGAACAAGCTGAGTAAATTCACCTTTTCAAACATCTAACTCTGAGGGGACTGGTGGTGGATGGCTCTGCCCCAGAGGGGCCACTGCTCTGCACTTGCATCCCTGCCTGGGCCTCCCTGCACCTGCACCGGCTGCTGCATACTCCCTCTGATCCCAGAGCCCACAGACTAGGGACCCAGCATGTTGCCTGACAGCAAAGTGCTCATTTCTCTCTTTGATTGGTTTCTGTGTCCATCTCAACAATGAAGACAGGAAACGCAAATGCAATATAAGCCTCCAAACAAGTACAGGGTGGGGCAAAAGTAGGCTTACAGCTTTCTGCATAGAAAACAATACAGTAATTAATAATACAAGAATAAACGGTGTTTTGTGTGCTCACATGTCTGTAGCTGCTCCCCTTCCTTTGTCTGATACCCTCACTAGTCCCTTCCTCTGATTTGCCACTTTTTAGCAAATTATTTATACAAAAAAACATGCTTATTGAACATGATACCAAAGAGCTTGAGCTTTGGCTTGCCTTTCAGGGCACGTTTCATCATCATCCTTTCCAAGAGTGTCTGTGTCTCTTGTCTTTGCTCTTCCTCTTTGCCTCCATCAGGCATGACCTGTCCTGGCAGAGCCTTGTGGGGAAGGAAGAAATTTTACTCTACTCTTTTAGGTTCTTTCAGCTGGTCTAATAATCAAACCTACATGAGGCGGATTAACATAGAAAATAACCAGACTTAGTTACATGCATGCATGTGTATGGGAACCCCACACACGTGAGAGGTCGAGGGACAGGGACAATGGGATAGATGTGCCATCCTGCACTGAGGAGGAAGTCCAGCGGGAGGGAGGTCATTTTCAGGAGATAAGAGCAGCCTGCTGGGCAGGAACTAAAAGTTTGCCCTGCCCTGTGGGTAGGTCACAAAGTTTATCTCTGGTGATAACTCTCATTCTGGGCAAGGCCCTCAATTCAGATTCTTGTAGGTAGTTAAGGGAGGGGCGGGAGTTTCTCCTGAGCCCACAGGGTCTTTCCACTGCCTTCAGCTCAAACTAATTCACAGGCCAAAGTAGCTCTTCTCCAGGAAGCCTGTTCCGAACCCCTCCTGCCTCCCCAGGTCATTATAGTAACTGTCTTACAGTTTCTTTGGAGGGCAACACTGTGTATTTACAGGGAGGGAAAAGTGGAGGATCCAACAAAGGTTGAATTTACCTGAGAGGAAATTTCATAAACAAGAGAAAGTGTGAAGGAATCTCTCTATTTTTGTGTTACGAGATGATGATAGCTAACTTCTATTTGTCACTCAATATGTTCCAGTCCTAAAACGAAGCACTTTACTTGCAGCGGTTGAGTCTCACGAAGACCATATTAGACAAGTACAGTAGCGCTAAACGATAGGAAGGTTAAGAATTCAGGCTCTGAAGTCAAGTCTGATCTCCTCACTTACCAGCTGCCTGACACTGGGCTGTTATCTAAACGTTGAACCTCAGTTCCTCATTCACAGAATGAGAATGCTTTCTAGGATTGTTGGAAAGTTTGGGTCAAGTGAGATTATGAATGCTAAGCATTTGCAATTAGAATACTAAGGGAGGTGCTTTTTAAAATAGTGATGCCCAGGCCCCATCTTAGATCAACTAAATTAGAATTTTTGTGTTGAGTCTAGCATCGATATTTTTTTTCACGTTTGCTGGAGAAATCTAAGGCAGTGAAGGCTGAGAACACTGAGCTAGAGGTTTCTCTTCTGCACTCTTCAATGTCTGTGCTCGGCCATGACTCACTGGCTTCTGCTTAAGAATGATGTTAGAGCCATAAAAAACTATACACAAAGGGGCAGATCCCGAGCACTTAGCATCTCACTTGATCTGTAAAACAACAAACCATGCCTCTGATTTCACAGGGTTCTGCCCTAGGGCACAAGGCGAGTGGGCAGACCCAGGATTTGAAAGAAGGCCTGTCAGAATCCATGGCCTGTGTACCTCCCCCACCCCCCACACCGACTCTCCAACACATTTTCTTTACATTGCCATTTGGCCTGGAGGAACTGGGCTGCCAACCCCAGACGAGCACACACACATGCCCAACCACTGGTCTAACCAGTCAAAAGCTGGTGCTTGTCTGGCCAAATCTTTCCCATCAGGTGGGGTTTTTTTTTTGTTTTTTGTTTTTTGTTTTGGCTCTCTCTCATGTTCTTGAAAAGTTTTTTGAGTCAATTGCCACCACTTAAAAAGGAGGTTTCACCAAAAAGCCAGACTTCTAACTTTCCTTGAGAAATTAGAAGAGCTGACACCACCAGCAATGTGCTCTGGGGTGTGCTCTCCAGTCCCCCTCCTCATCCCCAGCCCTCTCCCCACATTTCTGTATCCTGATTAATCTCTGGGCATGTGGCTTGGCCGCCCTGACTCGGTCTTCCACCTCCATAGTGGCGTGCTAGAATTAGCTCACTGCAGTTCACCAGAAGCAACTGCACGCCTCTCCCAAAGTCTTTGTTCAGTGTATCAAACTGGTAGCTTGAGATGGACCATTGTGGGAGTATTTGCCCTGCAGAAATTGGCAAACGCTAACAATCAAGTCTTTTTTTTCTTTCCGAGAGTCACTTGGCCAGCACACCATTGCCCTACCCCCTTTGGGGACTTTCTGATTTTCTGAGGATGAAGAGTTGTTCTGCATAGAAAGTGAAGGGAACAGAAGCACTTCAGAAACTGCAACTCAGCTCTGCTTAGCAATTGATTGTACACTATCTCATCTTGTTTTTAAAGTACTTCAATTTAATGTGGTGTAGATACCCAGAACAAACCTCATGCTGAAAACTAAAGTTGAATAAGATTTTTTTTTTTACTATTTTTAAAAATGAATCCTTGAACTAGCAAGAAAGCCAGAAAACCACAGAGACCAAAAACAAAGTTGAGGTGGGACTCCTGGGAAGTGAGAATGCTCCTAGAAAGCCCACCCAGCATCAGGGAGAGCTCCCGCTTCCACAGGTGTGCTGGGGCTGAGAGACTGCAAGTAACCTCGGGGGTCCACGACCATGAGCCTCTTTCAATATAAACTGGTGCAGCCACTACGGGAAATAGTGTGGAGGTTCCCCCAAACATTAAAAAGAGAACTACCATAGGACCCAGCAATCTCAGTTCTAGGTGTATATCCAAAGGAAACAACATCTCCAAAGATACCTGCACGTCCATGTTCACTGCAGCCTTGTTCACAGTAGCCCAGGCATGGAAACAGCCTCAGTGTCCATTGAGGGGTGAGTGCATAAAGAAAACGTGGTGTATATGCAATTTACTCAGCCATTAAAAAAAGGAAATCCTGCCATTTGCGAAAATCTGGATCACACTTGAGGGCATTATGCTGAGTGAAATAAGTCAGACAGAGACAGACAAATAGTGTGATCCCTCTTAACAACTGGAATCTCAAAAAGCCCAACTAACAGAAGCAGAGAGCAGGTTGGTGGCTGCCAGGGGCCGGAGGGTGGGGGAAGTGGGGAGATGTGAGTCTCAGGGTACACATTTCCAGTTAGAAGATGCATAAGTTGTGGGGATTTAATGTGCAGCATGGTGGTTATAGTTCACAAATACTATATATATGTACTTGAAAGTTCCTGAGAGAGTAGATCTTAAATGTTCTCACCATATACATATAGAAAAAGGTTACTATGTGAGGTGAAGGATGTGTCAGCTAACATTATTGTGGTAATCATTTATATACATTATATAAAAACATACATTGAATCATCACATTGTACTCTTTAAACTTACAGTGTTTCATGTCCACTGTATCTTAATAAAGCTGGAAAAAATTTTTATACAAAACATTTCTATATATGAGATATATAAGAAAACCTCTCCCACAAAACTGGGAGGGGTTCCAATGAGCCAGTGTAAAGATGAATGTGAAATTGACCTACTATGCAGAAGAGGACTCCCCTCCCTGTCTCCCAAAATGTACCTGTCTTGATCCTGAGACTGGATGGAAGATTTTTAAAAGATATATAAATCTGCCTTGAAAGTTCATAACTATGAACTTGTCTGCATGTAAGATTGTGACCCAAATCTATGATACCATGAAATTGAAAAAACTCAATGAGTCAGAGCCTGGAGCTCTCCAAGCCACTGACAGAAGCAAACACACATTCTCTCCAGAGGACAGTCCTGGACCTCAGCCCCCGAGGATGCGTATGGATGGAGCTTCGGGACCAGGAGCTCTTCACAGAAAACACCAAACAAACAAGACAGCAAAGTTTTGTAGGAGCAGATAGAAACCAAATGTAAGGCCAGCCTTTTTAATATATTGGAAAGTTGTTGAGAGTAAACCCTAAGAGTTCTCATCATGAAGAGAAATTGTTTTCCTTCTCACTTCTTTTCTTTTTATTGTGTCTGCATGAGAAGATGGGTGTTAGCTGAACCTCGTATGCTGATCACTTCCCAATAACTGCAAGTCAAGCAAAAGAGGGTGATGCTCTTTGCCTTAAACTTATACAGTGATGTCAATTATTTCTGGAGGCTGGTGGGGTGGGGGGGCGTGGGGAGGAGGGAATAAGGTCGAACACACAATCATTTGGAGTATTTTAATAAGCTCACACAGAAAATAGTGTGAAAATATATCAGGAAATAAAAGAGCAGCTTGAAAAACATAAGCAAGGAACCAAGTGTAGAAAGTACATCTGAGTATACCATGCTTCTTATTTGTCTTTAATTTCTCCTTCCCAGGAAGATTTTAGGTCCTTGAAGACACGGGAGCCAGGTATTGTTTACCAGTGGAAGGAGGCGCTCAGCTCTTTTTTGGAAGCCCGCAGTAAAAACTGAGTTTGTGACTACATCTTGAGAACCCTATTGTAAGGTCTGACGGAGTATTTCCAAGGGGAAGGGAGACGTGAAGGCAGCACTAAAGCAGAGCGGCCGGCCGGCCTGCAGCAACGGCACTTGGCTTCCGTTTCTCATCTTGGGAAAACCTGCGAAGTGAGCATGTGTCCATGTCCACTTGTTAGAAAGTCTACTTAAATGCCCAGGAACTGGAAGCTTAAATATAAATTACTTTTAAAGCATTGGTATGGTACTTAAAAGAAATCAAGGCCATAGAGAACCATTCATTACCCTTCGGAAGATGCTGTGTCTCCCTGGTGCCACTTGGCATGTCCACCAATTGTAAAGTTCTCTGGAATAGTCTGAACTAAAGCTCCCACAGGGTGTGTTTGGGGGCTGAAGGGACACTAAATCTTGATTATTGTCTCTCCCACATTTATGCCTAGAAAGAGAGTAAAACCGTGAAACAGGAAGATGACAGAGAAAATATAAAAGCTTGGCAAATTTTATGAGTTTGACGTAAACGGTTTAAAATCCTTAAGCTAGACGTGAAGCCTGTGCATGTGCTACAGCAAACCCTGGCATGGAGAAGGACCAATGCGGCTGCCACAGTCGCTATGAGGGTGGTGTATTTGAGTTGGAAAGTTATTCATTAGCAACGGTTCAAACATCTTAGAAGTCTCTCCTTTGTTGGTTGAACTTCTCAGTTCAGGTTCTGGTGGAGCCGTTTCTGGGGACCTTGCAGAGTAGGGGTCCTAGTGGTGTTAGCAGGACTTATTTTGTGAGCCCACTCAGCCCACTCCAAGAGATGGCGTTTGAGGAGCCTGGCCTGTGCGCACCTAGCTTCTCGCCAGAGAGGAAGTTCTGGTTGATGGTTTAGTCCACTTCCCTTAAAGGGTAGCTCGTCTCCAAGTGTTGGAAAAGGCTGACCTTTCTCCTTTCCCCGCCCTCTGGAGCAGTTCGCATTCCCGTAATGCCGCATCGCTGCGTCCTCCAGGGGCTACTTGTGCTCATTTCTGGAGGGAGAGCCCATGCCACCAAAATGGTAACAAATCGCTGAGACATATGCGAGGAGGAAGCGTCCAGGCCTCCAAACGACAAGTTATCTTATGAAAGCATAGCATCAGAACCTCACACACTTACACGGCATTTACAGTCAGTCCTTCCACAATTTCACTTCTCAAATGTATAATTTGAAAGGGTTTTTTACATTTAAAAGGACCTTTATAAATTCTGTATTTTGGAAACAAATAATGAGGCCACATGAATCATTCATAAAAGCTCATGACCTTTGCGGTACCTGTCCTGTTTAGGGAACTCACCAAACCCAGTCCCTTTTGGTCAGGCTTTCCTATTCACTATGGAGAGCAGAGCTCCTGCTGGAGCGGGTGGGGAGTTTGCCAGCCAATAAAAAGATGGGGTTAGAGCTGCCTCCTTTTTTTTCTTGTTGTGCCATGAAAATATATCGTTGAAGAGTGGATGGGTTGTCATGACAACCAACAGAAAGGTTTGTGACCTACATGGAGCCTAGAAACAGGAGAGACAATGGCCTCCACCGGCTGGCCTTTTTCCAGTGGACGGGCTAGGAAGAGGAGGACCCAAATAAGTAAAGGTCACTGGCCTCAGAAACCACTGAGAGCACTTCCCCAGACCTGATAGACCCCCCTGGTTAAGTGGCGAGATCAAGTTTCTTTACTTGCTGAACGGAGAATTGGAGAGGATCTGGGGACATCACAGCCCAAAGGGTTCTACGGGGCCCCGTCTGAAGGAGGTGGGCATTTCACCTGTTTCCCCCATCGGCTCAATGTTATCAATAAATTATCCTCTTGAAACTAACTGATTCCCCAAGTGAACAATTAAAATTGCATTCCTTCTCACAAGTACAAGAACTAGTTTGTCTATGTACGTTTTAAATTAGCACCCCTCCTCTTTTCACAGTTGTCATACATTAACGTTGAAATTAGGCCAGGTTAAAAGTCACACGTCATTGTCTCATTTCCGGATTCAGGAAACACTCAGAAGGTGAGAATGTTGGATGACCTGGAAAATCCTTTCCAGAGGTATTTAATGTGGCCCCACCTGATGCCACTTCAACCTCTCATGTATTAAAAACAATGTCAATTGACCCTGAATCTTGCAACATTTACTATGAAACAAAGACATTTAAAATATTTTTATATACCCATATTTTTTACTTGTCCTTATCTGTGAGGTTGGTACTCCTACCTCCTTCTTCAGCATATACTTTCTTTTTATCAAGAAATACCACATGCTTAAAGAAAATCACAGTTCACCATTCATGTAACGGTGTAGGTTAGGGAATGGTTACTAAGAGAACAGCCACCTAACACCACATCAAGAAATGGGGCATCACCATATGTCCTGGGCACTCCAATATGTCCTTCCCCATCAACCCCCCCCCCTTTACAAGTAATCACTCCTAACTTTTGCAGTAATCATTTCTTTGCTTTTTTATAGCTTTCTACCTATGTTTGCACCCCTAAACACTGTCACTTAATTTTGCCTGTTTTTGATATTCATACAAAGGGTTCACACTGCATATGTGACCTCCTCTGTGTGTTTTGCTCTCTTGCTTCTCTCCCGTTTTTTGTTGTGAGATTCCCCCCTGTGTCATTGTGTTGCTGTACAGTAGTCCATTGTGTGAATAGTTACCTATCTACCATCTATATACAGTTACTTTATTCTAAACCTGGTAGCTACTTGGGGTGTTCCCAGTGTAGGGCAATTGCGGACATCTTTGCTCTGCACTTTCCTGGGCACGCCCATGTGACTTTGGTGCACACTTAGTGGAGGAATTTCCGGGTCACAAGCATGTTCGATGTCCACTGCACTGAACTCCGGTCTGTCCCCAAAGTGATCGTACAGTTTGCACTCTCACCAACACTGGATGAGTGTGCTCCTCGTCCACATTCTCATTAGCACTTGAAATTGTGGGATTGTTTAATTTTTTTTTCTTTTAACAATAATGGATTTAAACAGGTTAGACTTAGTTCAGATTTATTGAGTACCTGCTAGGCACTTCGCTATATGAAGGGTCCTACACAAATAACACCCCTATTTAATTACAAACTCTTTTAGTACAAAATCATAAGCACGTAATTCTGTAACATAACAATATCACACTCAAGCACTCCATATGACATTTTAGGTGAAATGTTCAAATCGCCGTCCATCTGGTGCAAGACATTCACATACCCTACCGAGCACACCCAGGCAGGCGTTACTTCTGCCAGACCCTGCATTTAACATGATTAAGGCACAACAGCTCTACAAAGGAGAGGATGCTCTCCGCATTTCATGAATGAGGAGCCAGAAGCCACAGCCTGGAGGTTTCCCCAGTGAGGCCCTGACAGAGCTGGGACTTGAACCCAGGGCTAGCCGACTGCCCAGACCACGCTCTGTCCACATTCCACCACCATCTGCATCCTGATCTCCGTCTACCCTCACTGCCACCTGGAAGACAGCGGGCTGGGTGGGAGGTGTGCTGCCGGAGGCCCACCGAAGGCCCTCAGCAGGGTCCAGGCCCTGGCTCTGGCCTCACACACACCTGCTTTCGCCGACAGAGTTCACCGCCTGGAGCGGACGTCCCAGGAGGTGACGCGGCACTGACCCAGCAGAAGCGCATTTCTCGTTGTGCAGGAATCCCTCTAAATACTTACAGAGGATTTGGTCTGTCGCCCGTACAGCCCGGAAACCCGCCTTCGCCTCCTTCAGCATCAGCCTCAGCCCTTTTGCAATGGGGTCTCCCCGCCCACACTCCGAGCTACTTGAGGATAAAGATTTTGTTTTAATCCCTTTTTTAAAAATCTAAGTTGTCAGCCAAAAGTGAACAAAATGAGTAACTTCGGGCGATCTACTCTACAGCACAAGGCTGACCGTTAACGATGTGGTATGGTATACTTGCTGAGAGGGTGGATCTTACATTGAGTGTCCTTAGCACAAAAGAAAAAAATTTGATTAAAAAGTGAAAGACGGGGGTGAGGGGGGGGAATGCGTTTTTAGAGGCAGCGGATGGTCTTGATTGTGGTGACGGTCTCATGGGTGCATACTTATCTCTCAACTGATAGAGTTGTATACATTACCTAGGTACAGCTTTTAATATGTCAATCGCACCTCAATAAAGTGGTTAAAATGAAATAATCAAACAAAGGAAAAAACTGCGTGTTGAGTGCCCAGGCCGGGGATCGCCGCGGGCGGGAAGAGGAGCACCGGCACCAGGGGGCGCCACTGCGGGTCTCGGCCACGTCCTCGCTTACGCGGGCCACTGGACCTGCCCGGGTTTCGGCTTCCTCAGCAAGTGGAGAGAGGGTTGGACTGGAGGATCTCAGAGGCACTCAGCAGTGCCAGCGTCTGTGTCTGGGTTAACTTCTTCAACAAGCAGTTATCTAACACCTTCTGTGTGCACTCCTTCACAAACAAGACTTGCGGCCCACGTCACTGGTACTCAGATAAAGTGCCAAAGAGCTGTTTTGTTTTCCCTTTTTACAGGTCTGTGGGTGTTATTTTTTCATGGTGTACCTATTTTTAACCATCAGATTTAGTTCTTTTTTAAACAAGGGCCATCTTTGCTGTTTCCCTACTAGACTGGGGCTGTGCCTAATGTGTGTTTGTATCTCTGGCACAGAGCAGGTGCTCAACACCTGTGGAAGGAAGGCAGGGAGGTAGAGAGGAAGAGGGGGAGGGAGGGGGGAGGAGTGAATGGGGGAGGAAGGGTGAAGGGCAGGAGAAAGGAAAGATGGACTGATCTTTGGACTCTTCCCGCACCTGTGCGATCACTGAACACGAGACCATCGATGTTTGAACCACAGCCCCTGCCCGTGCGGGGTACCATTGGTAGCAGGCGCTGACCTTCTACTGAATCAGCGAATCATCAGAGCTATACAAAATTACATTATTTTTATTGAAGCCTGTTGCAGGTACCTGATATAATCATGGCCTTGATAAAGGATGCCAAGTGCTCCTGAGTGTGAAGGAGAAGAGAAAAATATTATAATAAAGTTATCCGACTCATTTAGCTTCTCACCACAGAAAATCCACCGCTCTGGGAGATCCTTATTTCTGCTGAGTTGGCGTTACTAAAAGGCAACCTGCTTTCTGTCAGTTTTCTTGAGGACGTTTTAGGGGTCCTCTTAAGGCAGGTAGATTTTCTTTGCCTGGGTCCAGCTCTGGATTCTACCAAACGTCCTGTAATTTATGATGAATATGCCCCAATTACAGTTCTTCTACTTGCCACCATATCCCTTAAGTTAAATGTATAATACAAAATTTTATTATGTTCAACCGTGTTTTACTGTGCTTAGCAGGGCACTGTCCTGCATGCAGATGACAGTCCCTCACCTCTCAGAAAGAAGCCCTGGACTTCTGACTTTTCCCCAGGGGGGCAGGGGGGCAGGGGGGCAGGGGGGCAGGAAACAGACTTGCCCCACCCCTGCCCCATCAAGCGAAGTCTGACCCCTGGCTGGTCTTGGAGCATCAGGCTGCTGATTTATTTTTCCTTTACCACTTCCCTCTAAGGGATGCAGGGGAAGAAGACGAATCTCTAGGTAGGAAGGTGAACTCCACTTTCCAAAGCACTGGAATGAGCCTGTGGTAGAGCCAGCATGACTTCAGGTGAAGTTTCTGTCCACAAGGTTTGCATTTCTCCAGCCAGCTGGGCCCCGGACAGGTCCTACCAGAAGACCCCAGGCACTGAACCCCCAGACAGCCACCTGCTCCTCTCAGATGCGGAGACAGCTCCCAGCCACAGGGGATCTGGCCTTCCCCGTTTCGGTGGGGGAGGGCAGAGAGGACTGTCCTCGGTGCTACACAGGGCAATGCCATGCCAACGTGGAGTCAAGGTCCTGGGGCAGGAGAATGGTGAGAAACCAATACCCACCATTGTACCTTTGCCCCCTTTGGCTTCCCAGGGGGCTGCTGGCGTGCCAGGCTGCAGCGCCAATTATAGCGATCACCTTCCCTTCCTTCCCCTTTGCTCCCGTAGCCCTCAGTTATCCAGCAACGTGCGGCCTCCGGAGTTGCCCCTGTGGCTGAGGGCACTGAGTCAAATGCCAAGTCATTGCCTGCCCCATCCCAAAGCTCAGTCGCCCAGGGCAGTGTTGATGCCAAGGCTGTGGGGCCCATCCTGCACTGGCTCATTTCTGAAAACTACATGATAGACTTCTCAAGGGCAGGGATGTGTCTTAGCTTTATCCCTTCCCGGGTTTCCAGGGGCTGGTTGCTACAACGGCTCTGCCCAGACCCTCCGACCATTGCCGGAGCCCGAAGAACAAGATGGCACACGTGCACATGTCCCTGCTTTTGAACAGTGCTTGGGTGCTCCGGCAAATACTCACCACCATGAGTTTTTCTCAGTCAGTGGATAACAAAGTAGAGCCACAGGTATGGGACTGGCCCTGGCTCCTTTGACACGAAAGGGCCCTCATGGACAGAAAGGTCGGGCACACGGTGTCAACGGCTCTTCTGCATCTGACTGACCCGGATGACCCCCATTCCGGACCGGTGGCTTCCTTTTCTGCCGGGGTGGGGCTCCAGAAAGAGGCCAACACTTTCCCATCGGCACAGGGGCCCTGCGTCAGTGGGCCATGGGCTCCGTGTCTCCGAGCTTCCGCCTCAGTGACCTGGCCCTGTTGTCACAGGAAAGAGTCAGTTTGGGGAAAAGTAATCCCTTTGTAAAATGAGATGAGCTATATAATAGGGCCGTTAAAATTTATTCTGGGTTTTATAACCACCACCACTGCCCTCATTCTAATCTTGCGTACCCTTACAAAATGGAATAGTTGCTGAAAAGTGAACCAATCTCGGAGATAAGACCCGAG